AAAACTAATCAGTAAAGTCTGTGGAATTTTAAAATCTGGCGATTTTCAGTAATACAAGAGTTTGACATGTTACTTTGACTACAGTCGAAGTCTAACACTAGTGCCAATCATATGACCACCTGCGACTAAGAGGAGGAAAGTGTGCGTCACTAGTGTCACGCGGCGGTGGAATTTCTCACTAATGGTTCTCAGACCAGTGGAAGAGTCCTAACAGAACGGCATTTTGCTTTCAGCATGCGTGTTTCTTGCGATTGCTCTTCTGTCATCTTTTACCTATTGATTTTTTGGCCTTTTGTGACATCGATATGCGTTTGCACGGGTATCCTTCATTATTGTTCTTTGATAATTTCCAATTGTTTTGTATTATTATTCCGTTACCAACGGATTATTCTTCATGATCCTCATCTGCTCGAAATAGGTACACACGAGGACAAAGAATACCTGCGTTTAATGGAAACCCTAGAGTTGCTAATTTTGGAACTGGATGGTGTCGAGTTGCAAGGTCATGAACAGCTACGATCGATGCGACGTGCGGCAGTGGTTGAAATCCAACACCTGATCCAAATGTTAGAATCCCAAACACAACGACCCGGTTTAAATGCGGTGAAAAAACCCCAGACAAACACCACAAATGGACCTTAGGTATTCAAATTGATTAGTGAGTTATCCTGTCTTTGTTTCGACCCTGTTCGGTCTTTATATGTGATCCATGTGTTTGCAATCAGGCAATTGAGAAACCATACCCAGCCGCACAAACGAGAATTACTGGAGGGGAAAAGTGCAAGTTATTGGTCGAGTAGCATTTATCCGTATTCGCTTTGTTCGGGTGTCAATTCAGTCTAGGATTGCAGTTGGGCCCCGTAAAGAAAAAGGTTTTTCTGTTGACACGTTTCTACAAGCCATACATTACCATGATTTTCCAATCGTTACTGATGCAGTGTTTCTTTTTTTGCGTAGTTGATTCTTCTTCATCTCAGTGGACACAAATCGATATCTGTCATATCAGTAAAAGTATATGCTACCGATGGTAACTGTGATTATAGTTATACTGATTGATTGCAAACTCTAAACAGAAATCGAGTTGGAGTGTAGGATGCGTTCAAATGTTCCATTAACGTTATGTGTTACCCAGTGACAACGGTAATCGACCTTCGCTTCCGCGTCAACGGTTTGTGGTTCTGTCGCTCTTGTTGGTGATAGGATAGCCTTAGCTGGGTACCGCGATTTTCAGTCATTATCTCACTTTACACCATTGAGTTATTTTCTTATCACGTAAGGCCATTGGACACAAGCAAACGGAACTCGCTCAAGATGTCCGGTTTGATGTTCACATGCCAGATTCGCTCCTGACTCCGATCTTGAAATTCGGTGAA